GCCCAGGAGTGCTGGATGGGAGGGCCAAAGGTGGGACACAGGTGGGCTGAAGGGGGAAGGGCAGGATGGAGCAGCCCAGGACACATTAACAACCTTATAGCTCCCTGTGTATGGGGGGGACAATTCCTGGGACAGGTTACCTTGGCAACAGGTTGGAGCAGAGGCAGGTTCTCCGTAAGGGTGGAGGAAGGGCTGTGAAGGAATTAACATTTCAATCCCTCAGTGGGCAGTCTCCCGCTTCCCAGACTCACTCAAAATTGGCCTCCTTGATCCGATCTGACACGATGATTTACCTCTATGCTGACTGCCTCTCTGATTCTGGCTTCACTTGGTCTGGCAAATGATCTTGCAGGGAGAAACTGCAGGGCATACACAGTCCTCTGGTGCTCCTCCCCCAAGGAGCCTTACAGGACCCATGCCAAGACAGCTTAGTGCCATCTCAGAAAGCCCATGCATGTCTGATAACCACACTATTATATACTAAGCTGTTCTTGCCACAGGAGGTTAGACGACTATAAAAAATGATGGAAATGCTAATAGACTCTAGTAACTTATCAAGACATCATGTTATACGCCTCTAATATGCATAATTTTTTAAAAAGCCCACGTAGGCTGGGGTGTAGCCAGTGGTAGTGCACTTGCCTAGAATGAGCAAGGCCCTGGGTTCCATCACTAGCACCACAAAATAAGTAAATAAATAAGCTGGCTCACCCAGACAGCCATGCACTGCTATTGATAAAGGCAACATTTCCCACCCACCTGCCAGGCCAGCAAAGGTGGTCTCCAAGACCCAGCAGCAGTCCCTGTCAAGGAACACAGTGACTTCCCAGTACAGAGGCTCCTGATGCACCCACTGCTTTTCTGTGTCCCTCCAGCTCCTGGCCTTCACCTGCCCGMTCCTGGCCCCACTTGCCACCCTTCCTGGCAAGAGCTGTCTCCTTCCCTTGGCTGCCAGCCTCTATCCAGGTCTGAAGCGTCACAAGCCAGCTGGCTGCAGCCAGACCAGCCTTTTGCTTTGGGCCTCTGGGRCTACTCAGTTCACATTCCTCCCCAACTGGAGGCCACTAGAAGTTTCTCAGGTGCTTCCCACCCTCCCACCTAAACTGTGACTTCAGATACACACAGATAACCCCCACTGTGAGCCAGCTCTGAATGCTGCAGGAGAGAACCAGCTTCCTTTGGATAAAGGATCCCACCCACTGGCCCATTCATCTCTTGGTTCCCACAGTGCCTACTCCACCCTGCAGGTTTCTCTGACCAAGCCCTCCCTGGTGTCCTGGTTCCCACAGCATGGCCTCAGGACACTGGCTCCTCAGGTCATCCCCACTCACCTGTGTGGCCTCCCTCCTCTCCTGCCACAGTCTGGTTTGCTCTACCTGGTCCTCCATGCCCCTTTCCCTTCCTCCCTCCAACACCAACAGTAAACGTTACTGTTACATAAACTATTTTATTTAAATAAAACCAAGGCAGTCCCTTTCCCACACTCACACTGACACATGCACTCACACACACCMGTGTCTCCCCTCCCCMTCCGTGGCCAGCTCAAACCTTGAGGTTCTCATCRTTGCACACCCATGTCCCCTGATTCTCCTTCTCACCAGTGGCCACCTCAAACCCCAAGGTTCTCATTGTGACCTTCCTCCTCCAACCTGAGYGCAGGAGAGGCCTGTGCAGAAAGGCCCACCCCTCCTCCAAGTGCTGCAGCAGCACCCAGGCTGGGAAAGAGCTCCCTGTCCTTTTGGGGTGACACGGCAGGACCAGCTCTCCCAAGGCACCCAGATCTGTTTGGCTTCCCTACACACACTGGGARYACCACCCCTGGAGCAGCTCCCCGAGGAGGGCTGGGACCCTCAGCCAGGGGACTCCCCCCATCATGGCAGGCAAGGCTTGACAGSCTAGCCTAAGCACTCCCCAGGGACCGTGGAGTAGGGAAAGCAAGGGAGAGCAAYTGAGCACCAATTCCCTAACGCCACCCACAGGAGGGTGCTGAGATCCAGTTCAGCAGCACCCACTCAAAACACTGGCCCAGCTCTACTGCAAGAGCAAGGGGTGGGGACCGCATCAGCCTCCCACATGGACCCCTCAGGGACCCACTAGCACCTGGGCAAGGTTGAGGACTCAGCCCAGCTGGAGAAACACCACATATACAGAGCCAGTCCAGAATGACATTCCCTATGCTGATAATGGGGTCAGGCTCCCTTCCATCTGGCAAGTTCTGCTACAGGGCACATATAACAGCAGCTCAGTTCACAAAAGGGCACACTGAAGGTGGTGGTGTCTCCAGAGGCGAAAGGTCACCAATCACACACAGGCAGGCTAGGACAGAAGGGCGGGGCACATGGCYGGCAGGACTCAGCAGCATAGCTAGGGCACCCTGGGAGCCGCCTTGGGGTGGGTGGGGAGCAGCAGCCCCTTGCACCCCTCTGGTTAGGGTACTCATTTCCTCTGATGAGCTTCCCAGGTGTTCTAGACCAAGTTCCCTGAGGGGCAAAGCTAGACCAGGAAGGAAAGAAGTCAGAAGGTAGGAAGTCAAGGGTCTCAGAGGGGTAAGGGGAAGGAGATAAGTGCAGAGCAGCCTTCTGAAGGGGCCCTGCAGGACTGCCTCCTGAGGGGGCAGGGGAGGCCGAGGRGGCAGGGSAGGCCRAGGAGGCAGGGCAGACAGAGGGCTGACACAGCTGGCCCCCAGGGGAAAGATGGGATCCGAGGGGCAGGAAGAAGCCCAAGGGCCCTGATGAGCCTACGGTGGGAGACAAGCCCAAAGCCCCAGCTAGCGTGCTACAGGCTGACACTGCGCTGGTGGCGGCCCCCTCGGGTCCCACCGTCACTGCCCCGGCGTCCCCCACTCCGGGGTCCCAGCTCTTGGCCGTCTAGACTGGCATGGTCCGAGAGGCCCCTCAGGTGCTCCACCGAGTCGCACTTCTGCAGGTCAGAGGCCACGGTGCGCAGGCTCAGCAGGCTCAGTGTGTCTGTGTCCGCGCCAGGTCCAGGCCCTAGGCCGCCACCCTCCTCCAGCCCCCCACCTTCAGCACCCTCAATGCCGCTGTCCCCGTCATCCAGGCTTTCAGGCCCAGCCTCAGCCCCCACAGGGGAGGAGCGCCGTGGACCTGGGGGGTGGGCAGGCAGGCCCCGGCGCCGCGCGTGAATCTGCTCGCTGATCTGCTCCAGGTTGCGCAGAGCGACTGAGTAGCGGGTCTTGGCCTGTGCTACCTGCTGCTCCAGTTCTGTCACCTTAGCCTTGTGCTCCTGCAGAGGGTAAGACAGGTGAGGGCAAGACAGATAAGCACGGGACATCACTCGGCCCCATTTGGCACTCTACATCTAGGCCATGGCCTTCTATCCTGGAGGCCTGGCAGTGCTGAGTACAGAGCAGACCTGCAGCACCATCCCTGTGTGCCTCCTCTGGTCGGTCCTTCCATCCCGGGTGTCCTGCCCTGCTCCAGGCCCACTCTGCCTTCTGGAGCTGTCCTCCCAGCTCTCAGTCCCCACCAGAGGCCCCCCACCCTCTGTCCTCTTCCCCATCCCAGGGCTTTCACCAATTCTTCTTCCCACTGACCTCCCTTCTTCAACCAGTTTCTCTGCCAGGACAAGCCCCATCCACCCTTCTCCTGTAGGGTCATTCTAGCACTTGTGCTTCACCCGGCAGGTGGCATCCCTTGACCTGCCCTCACTTTCTGTGCAGCCCCTCCTCTTCCCACACTCCCACCTGCCCATACCCCGCTGCACTCCAGCTACCTCCAGGATCTGGCTGAACTGCGCCTTGAGCTCAAAGTAGGGGCGGCTCTTGCCGATGGCTCGCCGGAGGGTCTTCTGCAGAGCCTGCACGCGGGCCTCAGCCTGCTGGCACAGCCTCGTCACTCGCTGATGCTCCCGCTCGCCTCGAAGCCGCTCCTCCTCTGCCTCGTTCACCTGGCCGGTGTGAGGAAGGGACACGCGTCACTGAGCTGGAACATACGCTTCAGTCCCTGGCACATGCCTAAGCTCAAGGGAACCTGCATGGGAAGGCCTCAGCAAGCCCCCCATCTGCAAGCCGTCCGTAGGGGAACGTGGATCCACCGGCCTAAGGACAGCGTCTTTTCCATCTTTTCTGCACTTGCTGCCTGATCTCCTGGTCTTCAAGGACCAGGTCTCAAGCACATCCCCTGCAGCCACCTCTCCCCCACTGTCCCGCCTGTTGTCCCTGCACTACCTGCCACTCAGCTTTGCTGACACCAAGAAAGGCGCTACAGCCATCTCAGGAACACAGAAGAAATGTCTGTCCTGGGCACAATGTCCACCCGCGGCTACCACAGTTGTGGCAAGGGGTCAGGGACAGGAGGAGCCTGTGGGGAATCACAGCCATGTATGGGGTTCTCCAGGCTTCCACACCCCAGGTGTCCACAGTCCAGAGCTACAGGTGAGCAGGGAGCAGGGGAGAGCTTTGGCCACAGTGTCCAGCAGGGCTATCATACCATATTCCAGGCAAGCACAGACTCCAAGGTGCCCACCATCCCTTAATGTCCCATGGTGCAGTTTYGATGGCCCATCCCACAATGCCCTGTGCCTGCATCTGCGTGAGCTCCACAGCAGAAGCCTGTGCCCTCTGTGCAAGGAGCAGCTAAAGAACCACGACACTGCCACTCCCAGGAGCTGGCGCTTGCCCTGTACAAGCCGAAGATCAGAAGGAGCCCAGCCAGAGATCCTCCTGTCCCCAGTCTACTTTCAGGAGCTTGGAAATGATACATAAATCACACTGCAAAATCAAGGTACATGACAACAAAACTGCACATCGTGCAACAGAAGAAAGATATCACAGAACTCAGCCTCACGAGATGTGAGTGCCGGACCAGGACACCCACCGGGTGAGACTTTGGGGTCAGCCCACACCCAGAGGTGACAGCTTGATACAATGCCATTCTAAGTCAGAGGGAAGGGCACACGGGAAGCCCCAGAGGTCATCGGGGAAGGCTGGAGTGGTGGAGAGAGGGAGAAATGAAGAGGTAAGGGGATGAAGGGACAGTAAAGGAAGCACTAGAACGTTCACAGACCTGCTGGCAACGTCCACCCACCTTGCAGGTGGCATGGTTGAGCATCTCCTGCCACGTRGGGTCCAGTCGGTTCTTGTCAGCCATGACCCCCTGCTCGGCCACAAACACCATCTCCCGGGCGGCATTGTGCATGCTCACAGCCCGCTCATACCGCAGGGCTGCCTTCTGTGTCTCCTGCTGGGCCTGGGGGGAGATGGCCATCAGGACAGGGAGCCCCCACCAGGAGGACCCACCTCAGGCTTGAGGATGAAAGATGGAGAAAGACCAACTTGCAATGTTAGGTTAAATACCACTGAAGTGGCATTCTATAGGGAACATATCGTAAGGAAATGGATGAAGAAAGAAATAAACATAGAAATGAATATTAAAACGAATGCTACTAGCCAGGCATGGTGGCACACACCTGTGATCCCAGAGACCGAAGACTTAGGCAGGAGGATCCCAGGTTCTAGGCCAGCCTCGGCAACTTAGCAAGACCCTGTCTCTGACATAAAATGAAATGGCCCAAGGAGGAAGCTCAGTGGTTAAAGCACCCTGGGCTCAATCCTTAGTACTGGGGAAAAAAACCCAAAACCCCAGAAGGAATGACGCTGCCCATAGATGGTAGCTTGTGAAATCCATCACTCAAAGTCTGCTGGCCTTTTACCCTGGGAAAACCCACACCATTTCAGTTGGAAGGTAGTTAGCAACATGGATTGAGTCTTACAGAAAGTCACTCTCTAGGATCAACTCCACATCCTGGGAGCAAGCTGAAGCAAATGACCACGTAATTTCCCAAGACATTCATCACAATCACGTGGGTTGAGTATCCCTGACTCAAGTCCAAGACCCCACCACGTTCCCAAATCTGAAGCTTTCTAAGCAACAGCACAATGCCACAAGTGAAAGATGGCACACCACCTGACTGTCAAGGCACAGAACTGCCAAAGCACCTGGGTACACCAGATGAGGTGGTACATACCTAAGCTCAGCTACTCAGGAGGCCGGCCCGGGCACTTAGCAAGACCCTGCCTCAAAATAAAAAACAAAAATGGCTGGGGATGCAGCTCAGGGGTAGAGAGCTTTCCTAGCATGTGTGAGGCCCTAGATTCAATCCCCAGTACCTTTAGGCAATRTACACAGGTGTTTATGTCAGAATATAACTGTCATGTTTAGACTTGGGCCCCATCTCTAAGATATCTCATTATGTCTATGCAAATACTCCAAAATCTGAACAAACCTGAAACACTTCTGGTCCTAAACATCTCAGGAAAAGAACACTCAACCTATACTAACCAAGCAAAAAACTGGAAACAATGTTAACCCAAGTTCTCAGAGAAAACATACTAAACAAGTAAAACAAGAAAATATTCCCATGTCTTTAAAGGATGATGGCACGGGGGCTGGGGATGTGTCTCTGTGGTGGAACATTGCCTAGCACATGCCCATATCATAAAGCTAAGTAAAACAAGGGACAAAAACAGCACACATTGTGTAACCTACTTTGGCAGAAAATACACCAAAGTGACTACAAAGAAAGCCCATGTGGTTATATGTGGCTATCTGTGCTGCGTTACTCATACCTTCTATTTTCTATATTTCTCCATCATCTGGCATTGGGGTGCCTTGCTGGTCAAGAGGGGACTGCTCCTCCCAGGGCTAGAAAAATGCTTGGACCTGGTCAGCTTCTGTGTGTGTACATCCTTCACAGGTAAACCAGCTAATCCAAGGCCCAGATCCCAATCAGACATCTCCTTTGTCAAACTCTTACTCAGGCCAATACTTCCCCTGCCCTACATCACTGCAGGGTCAGCTACAGACAACAAGAGACCACCCTCAGAGCCCAGAGCCTGGCAGAATTATGCAGACCATCCAATCCGAAATCCACTCAGACTCACCTGCCCTGCTGTAGCGGCTGCTTCCCACAAAACCACAACAGAGGCTCTGGGCTCAGCTTCCCCAGTCACCTCTGCCTCAATGACCCTGGTGCTCCCCCATGTGGCCCTGCTTGGCATGGCAGGTCCCCTCCTCAACTCCTAAGGCATGAACTCTTTCAAGGCAGCTGTCCCCTTGCCTAGCACCTTCCCATCCTGGATTAAACAAATCCTGAGTATAAAGTGCATGATAGAATTGGGAGAGATTTTGGATTTTTCTTGTTTCTATTACAGTATTCCAATGATGAATCCACATTATCTGTGCAAAGAAAAAAGATGGATAGGGGTAAGAAGGATGGTCAAGCAAAGACACAGAAAAGACAAGAACCAAAGGGAAGAGGAGAGAGAAGAAAAAGTGGAAGATGTTGGCCCTATCAGATGCACCTAGGGCCTGAGCCCTCATGCACAGAAGGTATTTAGCAGCATGTGGCGGTCGAGGGGCAGTTAAGTGGGAGGGCATGAGCCAGGCCCTGGTTCCATCCCAGCCATGTAAAACATAAAATAAAATCAACACCAGCAAGGCTGAACAGCTTCTAGAGCAGAATGCACCCACCTACCCCTATTTTCTAGGTCTTTAGCCCACAGTGGTGAAGGAGCCTTCTTGGCCCAGAGCTGATCTGAAGCAGAGCCAGGTCTGCCCCAGTGCTCTGCCCTCTGGGTGCAGACAGAGTCCAGGCCAGGCTCACGCAGTCCTACCTCCTTAGCCAGCCGTCGAGCTTCATAGTAGGGCCGAGCCTTCTCAATACAGCTCCCTAAGTGGGAGCCCTGCGTGTTGAGCTTCCTCGCAGACTCCTGCAGGATCCTCCGATAGGTGGTCCTGGCCTCCTGGCAAAGGGACAGGGTGGAGGAAGAGCATGTACATGGCTCCCAGGTCTCTGGTTCCTCAGACACACCCATTCCTCTCACTCTCTCCATCTGGGCAAGACACCAATGGAGATATCCCCGGAGACCAGCCCAAGGGTGTGAAGAAAGAGACTCACGTCCAGCTGTAGCTCCACCTGGTTGATCTCCTCACTGGCCTGGTTTAAATGCTCCAGTTCTTCCTGCACAGAGAGCGTGGTTAGAGCAGGGGAAGAGAGACAGTACCCAGTGGGCCAGGAGAGGCAGGCCAGATGCCGGGGAAGGGGAAAGACATGGAGGAGGGACTGTCCCAACATGTCCCTGTCAGACACCTACTGGGTACCATCTAACACGACCCTAGAAACTCTACCTGTGGGCCTGGTAAACCCCCAAGTTAAAGAGGAGGAAATCACTGGGCACTGTGGTGCATGCCTATAATCCTGAGGCTCAGGGGGCTGAGACAGGAGTTCAAAGCCCCGCCTCAGCAAAAGCAAGGCACTAAGCAACTCACTGAGTCCCTGTCCATAAATAAAATACAAAATAGGGCTGGGAGTGTGGCTCAGTGGTTGAGTGCCCTGAGGTCAATCTCTGGTTATCCCCCCCATACACATACACACAAAAAAAGAGGAAATCAAGCTTTGGGGATAAGATTAATACATGCTCCCCGGGGATGTCTCCATTGGTGACACACTGCTTTTAACCCAAAATACTAAAATGTTATGTCAACATGCAATCAACCTAAAATATGAACCACTTTTTTTTAAATGCTTTTCAAAATCCACTGCATTTGATCCCAAGGGCACATCCCAACTTCAGACAGTAGCATGTGGCTCCTGTATTTGACAGTGCAAGCTAACAGTCGGTGCATCGGGGGAAGTAAACCACAACCCAGTGTCAGAACAAGCCACTTGGGACGGGCAGCCAACAGACAGGCTGAGGAGGCAGAGGATGCCTAGGGAGCAGCATCAGCTCTAATTACAGAGCACCTCCCTAACAGGGACCTCTCCCTGAGCTGACGGAATCACCCAAAGGGCCCCAGAAAGGCGACGCCCCTCAGAGTGGGAGAGGGTCCTTCCCAGTGGGCCAGCAGGTTCCTGACTGCCTTGCAGAGAGAGGGGCCAGTTCCCTCAACAGCTGCAGCGTGAGGCTCCTCCCCAGCTCATCCCTGTAGAGAGGGACAACCCAACGAGGGGGAATGGTGACCGAGTCGGGTCTGATCTCACTGTCCTGACACTGTGGCCATCCTCTGGGACTGAGGCTGTCCTTCCATGAATGGCTCAGAAAAGACAGGACTGCTGTGATCACCACTGGGTAGGCAAAGAACAGGCCTCAGGAATGCAGTAAGCTTTTATTCCAAGGGAGAGAAGAGGGAGGCGGGCCAAGCTCACCCTGCAGTGTCCACCTGAGCTAAGCAAGATCCAGGATCAGATCCCCACCTGGTTCCATGACCCAGAGTGCTCCCCACCCCCAACTCCCAGACAATGAGGAGAAGGGCTCAGTGTTAAGTTGTCCCTGGTGGAAAATTGACAAGGGCTCTTGCTCCCGGCCCGTGGCAGAAACAGACATCATTTCATTACACAGGAACCAGCAACCCAAAGGCACTTCCTACAACTAACACACCACTTGCTCAGCTCTGCCCTGTGGGGTCCAGCAGGACAGGAGAGACAGCAGAGAGGCCTGCAGAGAGAGAAAAGGGGGCACAAACACACAGCAAAGCTGAGCGGGAAGCCATCSAGCACTCCAGGCACCACCCTGGCCCATAGGCAACAGGCCATTGGCCGGCTCCACCAGCACTCCTGGCTCTCAGCTCCAAAGGAACGCAGGGAGGACAGTCTGAGTCAGCGTGCCTCATCCATCAGTGAGCAGCAGCCAGCAGGGAGGGTGACCTTCCCGGGCACACTGGCTGCACTCTCAGGATGCCAGGCCACTGAGTCAAAGGCATGGGCACTCAGGACAGAGGCTCCCGCCCCACCTAGTGCAAGCCGTCAAAAACATCAAGCAACTCGGGCACGGCTTCCCCAGCTAGACCAACACTTCCAGATGAGGACACACATTGCGAAGTCACTCCAAGGAGTCTGGGGGGGGGGGGCAAAAGAAGAATGTGCCCACCACAGAGGAGATGAAGAAAACGTAGGGGAGACCCAGACCCACCCAAAACCTCCTCTCTCCTTCCTCCCACTGCAACACTCTCTCTGGAAGCTGGAGAACTTTCCACTGAAGTGCCAACACAGGGACGCAGCACTAACCTTTCCTGAGCGAGAAAGCACACCACAGGTAGCTGCCAACCAGCCTCCTTCCACCCTCCAGCGTGGTCCCACAAACAGCAGGCATGTGTGGCCAAGGGGCCCCAGTCCACTTGAGGGCTTCACCCCATGGACAACCATTTCTGGGAACTTTGGAAAATGCAAAAACCAGGCCCTCTGGGATATCCATGTGCCAGTGGACTCCACCCAGGCTGTGCATTAGAGTCACTCTGTACCCTACCTGTGAGAAACCAAATGACTGGCAAGTCAGGGAAGGGTGATTTTGAAAGCTCCCTCGTGTGTTCTGATGGAGCCCCAACCAATGCAATGATAATCCAGAAAAGTGGACAGCCATTTAAAGGACCCAAACACATCAGTAGGCGACGTAGTCTTGGTCACTGTCAACACTAAAATGGACCTCGAAAGACACGGGCCCGAAACTCCTCCATGTGCAGAAGAGGGACCCAAACACTGGAGGGTCATGGCCTATTCCAGGAAGGATGTCCCTCACACCAGGCTGCTTCTCCCACAGGGTGAGAAGACACCAACCCCTGCTGAGGCTGGCATGATGGCCTGCCACACTCATGGCCTCAAACGAGGGAGGCTGCCAGGGGCCTTTCCTCCTCATGCAGCCTGCAAGCTCCACAGTGTCCTCAGGACACTCCACCTTCGCAGAGCTGCCTGTGACCATGGACGTGCTCTGCGTCTGCACTTTCAGCACAGCACTGTCAGAAGAATCACTTTCTATTTTAATTTTAATTAATATTTTTTACATAGCACATTCAGAAGCTGCAGCTCGCCTTTTCAGACAGCCTGGTGCAAGTGCGACTCTTCATTCTGTGCCTTTGCCTGTGCAGAGACCGGAAAACGCACAGAAGCAGGAGAGCAGAGAAGCCACAGCACTGGATTCTCTCCCTAGAGACCCCTCTGAAGCAGGAGGAAGAGTGCCTGACAGAGGCCCTCCTCAAGAACAGAGACCTCTGTCCCAAAGCACCACTGCGAACTCTCACCAAAAGACAAGCAAAAGAATTTGTAAAAGAAAAGGACTGTACACCTGTGTTTGAGCACAGCCAACATGAGCCATGCAGGTCAGTGAGACCAAGCCCTTGCCTCACACATGAAGAAACTGAGCCTCAACTTTCCTAAAAACCACAGCTCATAGTACAGCCCAACACTGTTAGTACAACTTATTTCCTTATTGGACAAAATATCAGTAGAATTAGAAAGAACACTCAAGCTGTTTTCAATGCAGTGTCCATGAGGCACAACAGAAATAAATTACCCACTCACAGCAGAAATGAATGGCTCATAACCTGGGAACTCAGACCACAATGGCCACAGGATGCCAGGACCAGATTCTATTTCTTAGCAACTCACTGCAGTGATCCAATAAAGGTCTGCTCACAGAGAAACCCAAGAACTCAAGCCTGGGACACTCKTGCTCAACTAGAGAAGGGTGAGTCACTTTCTGATACCAGAACTTTGGCGATGCAACCTGACCAAATGGCAGATCAGGCCTCAAATACAAGGAGCATCATGGCTGTCACCTGTCCAAGCACTCTCCAGAAAGACCTTCATAGCCAACACCCTGAACATTACAACCCAGCACTAGAACCGAGGCCAGGGAGCTCCTCCACATGGGGCCAGTTTTCCTCACCTGGCCACAGCTCCCCCTGTCTGCTCTCCAGCTGGACTGTAAACACCCAAGGCAATAAACTGCTCTTCCATTCCTCCGGTAGACCCTCCAACCTGAGAGCCAGCAACGTGTTATTATGGACTGCCCATGGCTGACGGAAAGCCTTGAACACAGAAGATTACCTTCTAGGTCCAAACCCAGGGCCTCCTTCCTAACACTTGAAAGGTCTCACAGCCTACAGAAGGGAATGTTCCTGGGAGACATTGCTGAAAAAGGTAGAAAGAAGGAAAGATCCCTCACTCCCTAATGGCACCTCCGCTCACCTAGAAAGAAGCACAACAGTTCTACTCTGGCTGACCTAAAGTGTGTCTCTGGCTTCCATGGCCAACCTGACCCTGGGCTTCCTGCAGGGAAGCTTTTAGCAACACACCCTGGCACTCAGGGCCTTCCCTGCACGTGCGTGCACAAACACACACACCTCTCTTGGCACTTGCCACACTAAATTACAATGCTGTGCTGACAAACTTGTTTTCTTTCCTGCCCCAGGATACTGGGGAGAGAAGCTTAAGCTCTTGTTCATCTGACAGTTCTTCAGGAAGACTGCCGGCTGGCTGTCTTTTCTCTCCCCAGACTCAGTCTTCTCACCTGTATTCTAGGATCCAGTTCTTCCTCCTCTCTTGGAGACAATTTGGACTCATTGCTGTTGCTTCCACCTCCTCCTCCAGGCTCCTCTGCCACTGGGCTCCTAGGAATTTCATCCTCTACAACTTCTGGCCGCAGCTCCCCCTGTGGGGTCTCCCGCCCCCCTGGAACCTGTCTGAACTCAGCCATGCTGACCTGGAGAGGGCAGAGCCCTATGCACAAGAGAGGACTGACATGCTGGGACCAGGGCCCCAGTTTGAGGGTTCCTGGGCTCTAGATGGCAAAGAGAAGTGTTTGTCTTCTCAAAAGGCTGATAAAGTGGGCACAGGAAGAACCTCAAACTCAGAGGCTGAAATTCCTAGAACTAAAACCCCGTACGGGCAAAAGTTCTTCTCTCTCCTCCACCAGGAGTCCACCAACAGGGTATTGGAGCAACAGCTCCGAGGCAGGGGGCAAAGGGGGCCTGGATCCTGGGCCGAGGCCAGCGAAGAGCAGCACCATTCGGGAGGGTGGAGGAAGGCGCCTCCAGGCTGTAGTGCCAGCTGGAGAGAGAAGGCCAGGCTGGAGCAGAGGCTTCGAGGCGTCTCTGGGGAGCTGCAGGAGAAACAAGGCCAAGTGTATGGCCATGTCAGCATCAGGGCCTCGGCCACCAGCCCCTGTCTACCTCCCAGCCTCCCTACAACTGCGTTCTCGTCTCTCCACGCTCTTGTATTCCGCCTGGACCCCAGTTTCAACTTCTTTCCTCGGCTCTCCAGGACCTGAGGTCCGACTCTGACCCCTGTCCCAGCTCCCACCCCAGCTCAACCAGCGCCCACGGGGCTTCCCTCCGAGCCCCCACCCTCTCCTCCGCCCGCCCCACCCCACTCCTCCAGCTGTGCAATTCACCCTGTTACCCCCAGCCTGGCCCCACCTCCTCTCCTCTCTCCATCCCTGCGGAACACGAGCCTCCCGTCTCCAACCCTACATCCTTCTGCAATCCCGAGGACCATGCTCCAGCCATCTTCATATCCAGGCACAAAAGCTCCCCATAAGGCACAGCCTTACCTCAGTTTACCTTCCCTTGCGCAGAGCTCCCAGGCAGCAAACAATCTTCCCCCTCCCTCCCCGCAACAAGCCGGTCCAACCAAAACGACGGGGCCTGGCGGAAGCGGAAATGCGCCAGCAGGTAACAACGCCCTCCCTCCCACTCTCCTTCGCCTGCCCGGCCGAGCGCGAATTTCTCGGCCTTCGGTTCCGTACAGCATGGTGCCTCGTAGCGTTCAGCCTAGCCTCTCGGCTTCCAGCTCGTTCTCCGCCAAGGGCGAGTGGAATCCAGAAGTGAGCGTGATTTTYTAAAGGAAAATAGAGGGGATAATGGAAACCGAAGGTCCCTTGTGAATAGAGAAAGGCCAGAAACAGGAGGCTCGTAAGTGTCCGCAGAGCGTGTGCTGCCATCTTGCTTTACGGATCTTGGACGGCAACTCTGGGAAAGGCACTTCCGGCCCCTCCCGGAAGGGCGGGAGCGACGGCGTATGTGGGTCCGGGAACTTCCGGCTGCGGCCACAGGGGCAGCTGAGGTCCGGGGGCTGAGGTTGACCGGGAGGTCTCCTTCCGGGCGGGATTTTTCTCGCTGCAGGGGCGTCAATGGGACCGTGAGCATTGGTAGCCTGGCGGAGGGCGGCAAAGTGCAGGTCTGTCCTGGAGGCCGCCGCCTAAGAGCTTCGCGAGCGGGGCTTGGCGTTGGCGCGGAGCCCCGGCGCCCCTGCGGCTCGTCCCTGGGCCGAGGAGCAGGCCCCTCGCCCAGAGCGGGGGAGGCACCCACAAGCCAACCGAGTCCTTCCTCATCCCCGAGGAGCCTGTCCAACCTGAGCGTAGCTGGACGGAGCTGTCTCCAGTGACTTCCGACAGTCGGGGACAGCAGAGCCCCTGCCCTGTTTGTAGGGAAGTGTTCCGGCGTGTCCAGGGAGAAACGGACGAGCGAGGCTGAGCGGGTCTCAGGGCAGTCAGAGGGGAGAAGTTAGTTGGTCTTAAAGAGGGAAAGAAGGCGTTATTCGGGATCACTAAGCATCAAAGCAGGTGTAGAGATCATTGCAGGGAGGGAGAGAGGGAGCTCATCCAGTTCCAGCGTGGATCAACCTGTAGCCAAGGAGCCATGTAGGGTCAGTGGGTGAAAAATTGCCAAGTGCCAACAGCGGGGTTTAAGGAGTGGGTGGCAAAACCAGCCTAACGGTTCCTGAGAGTACAGGACTGGCGGTGGTGCAGAAGGCTGATCGAACACCCAGGATGGCGGCGGGGGTGTTCTTGTTAAACTTGAGATTCTTTGTTACACCTGATGTTAGGGACACATGTACATTGGGCCTAAAATAAGGTTCAGACGAATGACTAAAGTTTGACCAAGCAAAGAGTCTTCTGTCGCATTTCATTGAGACTGGGAGATCGAGACCTGTTGTTCCTGATGATTACCTTTAAAGGAATAGGTCTCATTCCTGAGAAGGATACCCCGGAGTATCCTCAAAGAGGTGAGATACATAAGCAAAGGGATGAAGGAAGGATTCACAATTGCGCTTGTTAGTTAATACTTAAGAAAAGGAAGTTAGGAGCGTCTTACCAGATAATGACTAGAACAAACAGTAATTTTCCTAGCTGCATTGAGGCAGGCAGGCATTTTAATGGAGAAAGAATTGGGGTCACCCTAGGAACATGACTATTGTTGCTATGGGCTATGTTAGAGTTCTTTCTTTTCCTAAGTGCAGAGGTTGGGATGGAGGTGTTATGTACCAAGAATTCTGCCTTTCTCAGTTCCCTCCTTCCATCCCCTAATCCCTTGAATTACCATATTTTTTTAAAATTTGGGGGACAGAGTAGGCTGGGAATGTAGCTCAGTGGTAGAATGCATGCCTAGCGTACATGTGGCATTGGTTTCCATTCCCATCACAGGATAGCAGAAAGTAGAATCAAATATATTCCATTAAAAAAGGTGATTTAAATGAGATTTTTCCTTGAAATTGGAAATATTCATTTTAAAATTTCAAAAGTGACTTATCCTAAGAGGTCAGCATTATCTGATGGTAATAATGCTTCACTTTTCTGCCACATTCCTTATTGTTATTGAGGTACCATATATAATCCATGAAATTACATGTAGCAGTTGTAAACATTTTTTCTCTACCAGTCATTTCAATTTTGTAGAACAAGACTTTCACTGTAATGACCCCATTTCACTTAGTTTTCTGTCTACCCTAGCCTGAATTTTCCAACTTTTCCTATTCAGCATTATTCCAGTACCTATGTGCCCTAGTCCACATCTCCTTTTTCTGTGTGTTCAGTCCTTTCAATCATGAGCTGCTACTGCTTGTCACAGATCTTTGTTGGATTTTTAGAAAACATTGTAAATGTATATACTGCCCAGATTCCCTAAAAAAAGCACCCTGAGATTCAGCAGCTTCTCCGTGTCTCCACTGGCCTCCCAGTGGTCACTCTAACCCAGTGAGTCCAAATGTAATTTTTATTATGTATGGTTTGTAAGATAATCCCCTAGTGGTTTTCTGCTGGATTTGGATAATGCTTCAGGTAAAAAGCAGTTGTAGGATACTGTATACTGGTTTAGTCTAAACTTGTTTTATTTGTGAATTAAAACTCTTCAAGCAGCACTGTTTAGCAGAACCTTCTACAACAAAGGTAATGTTCTGTATCAGACCTATATGCATTATGATGGCTTCTAGCCACACATGCCCAATGAGCACTTGAAATGGAAATAGTGTGAGTAAGGATGTCTATTCTTTAAGTTGTTGATGGATCTTTATTTTATTTATTTATATATAGTGCTGAGAATTGAACCCACTGGCTCACACATGCTAGGCAAGTGTTCCACCACTGAGCCACAACTCCAGCCCAGGAAGTCTATTCTTATTTAATTAATTTATATTTAAATTGCCATATTGCCTAGTGCTTTCCATTATTGGACACCACAGTTCTAGAGCCTGCCTTTACTATATAATCTCTTTTGAATCAAACTTTCACACTTAGTAAAAACAGTCCCTCTTAATGTCCCTGTCACTTGTCTCATGTCCACTTCACCTCCTTTTCAGCTCTGGATGTGGAGTTCCCTGCCAATTCATAAAATTACAGAAGGGTCATCTGTTTTCTCATTATAGCCAAGGCACTGACATCTGACACTGGGTTAATTTTCTCTTTTATTCTTTGCCTTCTCAGTCACCCATGTCCTAGGTGTCCTATTCTCTGTGAGTTGTTTTATTTCTTCATGCAGTGTCCTTACTATTGTGTGCCACAATTTTGAATTATGATGAAAAAAAAGGCATTATGGTTCCCACGTAGCTTATAGTCTGTGGTGTTCTTTCTATAAATTGATGACATCCAAGCTAATTGGACCACAACACAGAAATATATCATTGTTACAAGCTAATGATTGCATATGTGTGTGAATAAATTAATATTTAAGGAAAATATGATCCAAATTGCATGCAAAGTACATTAATACTTAAATAATTTTTTTAATGCTGGTAGAGATTCAGTTTGTTGATTTTTATCTCATGTTTGAAAACCTATCCTAAACACTAGTGTTCCCAGGCCATGACATTAGCCTGTGACCACCTCCTGCCACCTGATTTCCTGCATGCTCTCACACAAGTCCAGCCCTACTCCTGTCTGTGGCTCTTTCCTTGAAACTGCCTCTAGAGACTCCCCATGGACTGCACTCAGCCAGCAGGCTCCTAGGCATCACTGCTTGGTGCCAGGCTTGCTTCCACTCACTGTGTCTAATCCTGACTTCATTCCCTTTCCCCATATCCTGTTCCTTCTACATTGACTGTATTGGTGAATGGTTCTACAGAATTTGTCCTAGGTAGACATCTAGAAGACATCCTCAATGTGTCTCCCTTCATAGCTTCATCATGTGAAGTCTCTCTAATCCTTCCTCTCCTCACTGCAATTCCTTCAGCTTAGGTCCTTCTGACTTCCACCATGCACAATGTACCTCAAGAGCCTTCTGGATGGGCCCTATATAATGGCACTTTAAATGATGATGGAAGTTTCTGTATTTACACTGCCCAAATGGGAGCCACTAGCCACGTGTAGCTGTTGAGCACCAAAAATGTGGCCAGTGTGACTGACAAACTAATTTGTTTTTCTTCCTCATGGGCAGAGAATGGGCACAGCATCTTGCCATGTTGCCCAGGCTGGCCTTGAACTCCAGGGCTCAAGTGATCCTCCCCCTGACTCATAGACATGCATGGCTAATGATTAATGTACTGTACAGCAGCATATGTCTAAATAATCTTCCTGCCACAAGCGTAGCCCCTCCCAGCCCCTGGCACAAAGAGATGGCCAACCAGCAGTCCTGTTGACTAGTTTAATGAAGGAAACATGACAACATGAAGGCTGAATAAGGATGATAGCAGTACCACGAATTGCTATGTAGTGCCACAAGTCAAGCTTTTTAGTTCATTAATTTTCTTCTAACTTCATTGGTTATTTATTTCCTCACATTCTTATTTTAAACCGTCTTTGTCATTAAAAACTTTTTCCTTCTTTTTTTTTCCCAACAAACTACCCTTTATCTTCAACAACTTCTATCATCAGTTATATATTTAATAAATACCTCTATCAATCTGTTTAATCAGATTAGTTGATTCTTGTTTAGGGACAAAAGCAAATGAGTGCTTGCCTGAAGAAGTGGTGGGAGGGATTGCAAAGTGTAATGAAAAAAAAACCCAGAAGACACAGGCATTTTTGCTGTCCTTTCCTTGTACTGGGCACTATTCTGCGCAATCCACAACCAGTAGATAAATTATGCCTGCATTTTACAGCTGCTGCCTCTTGGAAGTGCCACCCACTCCCATGGCTCATCCACTCACCTCTTGACTTCCTGATGTTTGCAAACCTCAGACACCATGACTCTTTCCCTCCCCACCGAGGGTAGTCAGGCTTTGGAAATTGAGGGACAAGAGGATTACATAAATTGCCTGAGGTTGTGCTGCTGGAAGAGGCAGATCTTGTGTGAGATTTCAGATAATCCAGGTCTCAGGGATAGTACCTCGTGGCCTCAATAAAGCCTCACAAAATTCTCAAGGTTACTTAAAATCTTAACACACAATATGTTAATTTAAGTGTATGTGCTTACATTTTAAATGCCTGAATTTTGAAAATAACAAAGCTACTATAGATTTGCATTTGATGTCATTTCAACTTATATTTACAACTCTTGCTTGACCCCTAAAGTTGTTTAAATTATAAAAATTTATATTATCCTACCCTRTGTTTTATTTTGAGATAGATTTTTCCCTGAAACTTCTGCACCATGATTTTAGGTTTATTATCAATATCTTATTTTGAACATAAATTTTATCTTTTTAAAAAATTTCATATTTAAGGACCTAGACACCATGAAGAACTAG